GGGTAGTCCTCCTCCTTCGCTATCTCCAGGGTCCTTTGCAGCTGCCCCTGGATGTCCTCCAAGCTCACCTTCGGGTCTTGCCACAACCCTCTCCATTTGGACGCCCGGTCATTCATGATCGCCGTAGGGTCCGCCGTGGTGGAGGTGCCCGTGCAGATCTCGTTGATGATGGTCGGCTCGTCTTTCACGTGCTTGTGCAGCACCCCCATCTTGTCGCTCCACATCTCCTTCACCCACTTGGTGTAGGCTCTTCGTGCTTCCCCCATCGCGCGCGCCTGCCCTGCCGCCGCCAGCGTGCCCGTCAGCTCGAGCAGCTTCTGTCGGTGCGCCGCCGAGAGGGTCTCGACCTTGACCATCATCTTCTGCCAGACCATGAAGCGCGCGCTGCCGAAAAAGTCTGCCATGCCCTGGTCCAGCGTCTCCTTGGCGATCCTCTTGAGCTTGCAGCTCACCCGGCCTCGCTGAGCCTCATCGCGCCTGCCACGCGCGAGCGTCTGGTACCTCCGCATCAGCGTGAGCGCATAGCACATGGCGTCAGACTTGTGGCACTTCATGTGTGCCCTGCCTGGCGTGACCTTCGCTTTCACCCACTTCAGGTCGAAGCCCCTCCCGCGCCCCAGGTAGCGCGCCTTCTCCGACTCCTCCACCTTTTGGACGGCCAGCAGTGCGAGCTCCAGCTTGCTCACCCAGTTGCCGTACCTATGCGAGAGGTCCTTCTCCTGCTCCTCGCGGCCCTGGTAGGCGACGTGGTCGTCCAGCTGCTGCACCGGGCCCGTGTACGTGCCCACAACGGGCCCTGGAAATCCTGTCTGCGCCAGCTGCACTTCCGCCTGCCTCCAGCACTCCAGTGGCACCTGGAAAGGCGCCTTGGGCTCCTGGCAGACCTCATCCTCCTCGTACAGCTTCGCGAAGGCCTCCTGCTCCTCCGGGGGGAGTCTCGACTTCCTCTCCTGCAGCTTCTTCTGCTTCATCTTGCTCGTCTTGCTGTTGAGGTCCGCGCTCTTCCTCGGCCTCTGCGTCCGCGGCAGCGCCCTGGGCACCACGAGCGCCCTCGCCCACCATTCTTGGTAGGAGCCCTTGAGTGTGATGAGCAGCGCGCAGTGCACCTTCCAAGGCACCTCCAGCTCCGCCTCTACCATCACCTGGTCCGCAAAGTCCTTGCGCACCAAGCAGTAGTCCAGCAGAGACCCCTGCTCCCCTTTGGCGCACGTTACCTTCGTCCCCTGCGGCGTCTTCACCACCCCGCCGACCTTCTGCGGGAACTCGCTCTTCAGCAGCTGCTCTGGGTCCAGGTTCCAGTCCGCCGCCACGATCCACGGGTCGCCCGCGGCCTTCAGGAAGGCAGCCAGGCTCGCCAACTTCTGGGGGTTCGGGGACCCCTTCCCCCACTGGGGCGCCATGTACGCCGTCACTTAGACCGCATTGCCCGCCTTCGCGTGGATGGTGGTCGCCACGAACCCGCGGAAGGGATCGTCTCTGCCTCGCTGCTGTGCTGCCACTCGCACATGATCAGACGAGGTCGTCTCCAGATGCCGCCTCGCTATTACCATCTCTCCACCACAGCACCCCGTCTCACTCAGCCCAGACGGCCGCGCTGCCGTGGCCGTGGTCTTCCAGCCGTCCCGATCGAGGTCGACCGTGACCTTCTTCTGCTTGTCGGGCATGGGTCTCGCAGATGCCCATCACACTTACCCGTGGGTGTCGCTCCTGATACTCGTTCACGTACTTGTGGGCCTGTGGGCCCCACTTCTCCACATTCGCAAAGAAGAGCTGGCGATCGCCAGCCGTGCCTGACGCTGGCCTCGCGTCAGGACGTAGATCGTCAAAGGTGCGACGGTCTATCCTGGCTGGCAGCTGCTCCACTCTTGCCTGCGCCTGCGCTCGTCCCAGCAGCAGGAGCGCCAGCAGGAGCCGCAGCAGCCCCCGCAGTGCCTGGCTTGCCCTTGCCGCCCCCCTTGGCGACAGCGACGGCGCGCTCAGCCTTGACCTTCGCCTGGTAGTCCAGCAGCACCTGCTTCCTCCTCTGGGCTGCCTCGGCGTCTGGGGCAGCCGCTGGTTCCGCGGCCGTGGCTCCTGGCTCCGCCGCTGGCTGCTCACCGGGCTCCTTGGCGGCTTCGCCTGAGGCCGCCTGGCCGTCCTCCGTCCTGCGCTTCTTCCGGAGCTGCTTGCGCAGGCTGGGGAGCTGCTCGACTTGCTGCACCAGGAGCTGCTGGTGCTGCTCCGCCTGGTCGCGCAGCTGCTTCGCCTCCTCCGCGTGCTTCTGGCGAACCTCTGCCTGCTGCCGAGCGAGCGCCGCCTCTGCCTCCTCGATCTTCTGCAAAGATGTTTTCCCCGCCTGCTGGATGTCCGCCAACTTGGTGCGGAAGGCCAACACCGCCTCCTTCTCTGGGCCGTCCTCGTAGTCGTCCAGGTTGGCGTCCAGGAGCCGGTCATCCACAAAAAAGTCCAGGATCGTCTGCACTTCAGCCTGCGCAGGCTCCTCCCCCCTCAGCCTTGACGAGCTCTCCCTCGCCCACCTGCTTGTAGTAGGCCGCCGAGGCCTTCGCGCGGGCCTGATCCGCATCGAAGGCGTCCTCCAAGGCCTGGTCGCGGCGGAGGAGCGCCTCATCGTGGAGGATGGACAAGCGCTCGAGCTCGTCCTCGCACTCCAGCAGCCACTTCTGCGCCTTCTGATGCTGTCCCTTGGCCTTCGTGAGCGCCTGCCATGCATCAGGTGGCCTCGGCTGGGGCGGCGGCGGCGCATGCTTGCGCTGGAGCTCCTCGATCTCCTTGGCCAGCTGCTTGTTCCCCCCTGCGAGGAAATCCAGCGACGCCGCCTTGCCATCGCTTTCTCCTGGCTTTGGCCCCCACCGCGCCGCCGCTGAGCTTCCAGTGTGCTGCTGCCCGTAGTGGTTGCTGCGCCAGGGCGGCTTGCCCTGGAACCGTTCCAGCCACGCGCCGCACTTGCACTGCCCTCCTTGCTTGTCCAGCCGCCAGTTGTACACCCATTGGCCACACTCATTGCAGACTGTCAAGGGTTTACTCTTGGGCATTCTCAAGCTGAGCCCCAACGCTGTGTCACTGGCCTGTCCAGTCGTGTCGCGTCTCTCAGCACGCTCAAGATCCCAAACGGCTTGAGCCAGGAGTTGGAGGAGGAGGAGGAGGAAGAGGAGGAGGAGGAGGAGCAGTATGGAGCGAAGTGGGAGGAGGCTCGAGGAGTCCATCGCAGTGCTCGGCCCCTGGAGACGGGCCTCCGGCCTCCGGGCCTCCTCAGGCAGCAGATCCAGGGAGGACAGCAAGCCAGGACGGACCTCCTGGATCGATCTCGATCGGCTGTGCTCCTGTTCGGTTTGAACAGGACTCGCTGTCCGCGCCGCCGCGGCCTGTGCCTATTTGGGACAGAAGGCCGCCTGCCCAACAGCGGCCGCTGTTGGTTTTGGACAACATTTGCTGTTGGGCATTGTACCCATTTTTTCCGTACCCATTTCGGGCGTTCAAATCGATCGTTTGCGTGGGAGACTGGAGGATGGGGGAGGAAGACGAGAGAGAGGAAGCTCCCTTAAGGCCAGACGATTGTTTCCTGAGCAGCGAACGCTTGACAGGGTCCTCATTATGAAGTCCGCACGATGGAGTCTTCATTGTGAGCCAAGTGTTGTTTCGTGTGTGTGTGTGTGCGTGTGCGTGCGTGCGTGCGCGTGCGTGTATATGTGCGTGCTGTGTGTGTTTGTTGAATTGATTGATTGATTGATTGATTGATTGATTGATTGATTGATCTATTGATTGGTTGATTCATTGATTGATTGATTGATTGATTGATTGTGTGTATGCGTGCGTGCGTGCGTGCGTTCGTGCGTGCGTGCGTGCGAGCGCGTGTACGTGCGCGTGTGTGTGAGTGTGTGTGTACGTGGGTACGCATCTTGGCAAGCATCCCGTTCTCGTTTTACATGAACGGCTGATTGCACTCCATTGGCGCGTCGGAGGAACGTGTGCATGCTTGTATGTGCATGTGCGTGTGCGCGTATGTGTAGCGAGTTCTCCCCTCGTGCGCCGTCGGGGCGATGGCGAGAGGCCCTATCTCGGCATACCCACGTCACAAGCCAGCGCGTCGAGCGCGGCGGCTGCTGGTCGGGCCGGGCGGCCCCCATCCCTCGCCGCCCGGGGACCGCCTACTGGGCCAGTCCCCAGGCAGGCTCTGGGGCGTGCTCCTCTCGCCTCGGCGCAGGCCTGGCGGCCACCTGCGGGGTCGGCACGCCCGGCAGGTCCCAGGAGTGTGCTCTGGCGCCTGTCTCTCCCTCCTCGCCTTCCTCCCTGCCTTCCTGCCCTCCTGCTCTCCCCCTTTCTTGCTCCACCTCCCTCCTCCCCTCCTCCTTCTCCTCCCCTCCTCCTCCCCTCCTCCTCCCTTTCTCCCCCTCTTTCTCGCCCTCCTCGCCTCCCCCCTCCCTTCCTCCCCTGCTTCTGCTCCTGCCTCTCGCTCCAGGAAGGTGCACGACCCGGGCGACTCGCAACGACTTGCGTGGGCGGGAGGACGACGACGCGACGACCACTCCACACGAGCCCCACTCACTGGCTGAGTCTGCGTTTTCTCGTGTCTGTCGGTTTCGCGTCTCCCTTCTCGCCTGCGGGCTTCCACCGCGTGACGGGGCGGGGCTGCATATCGTCAGGGCTCTCTGCATCCCGCGGCTCAATTCACCACGGGCTCCCCGAGTGCCTCTGAGCGCGTGGCCGGTGGGTGCGCGTTTGCGTCCCTGTGGCTTCTGCTGTCCCACGCACAGGCTCCGCGCCTTGCCTCCCGCGGCTCGCCGCAAGCACTGGGCACAACGGCGACAGCGCGACAGCGGCGGGTCCACCTGGCCTGATGGGCAAATTTTCACCACCACTACCGTAGGTAGGACGGGGGAGAAGGACGGATTGGGAGGTCCTCCTCCTCCTCCTCCTCCTCCTCCTCCTCCTCCTCCTCCTCCTGGGGATGAAGATAGCGATCGGTCGAGGTCCAATCGGGGGAGGACCAGCCGCCATCATGGATGAAGGTCCTGATCGACAAGTTGGACACGAACACGGAGACCATCCACCGCTTAGAGGACTCGCTAAAGGATGACATACGCCGTATGAAGGCAGATGTTGCCCAACAGAACGAACGCATCGATGCACTCGACCGCAAGATGGCCCATTCGGCCCAGGAGCAGGCCAACGAGATTGCGCAGATTGTGGAAGGTCAGCTTACGGAATCTCTCAAAAGCAGGTTTGAGAAAGTGGAGAATGATCTGATGGCCCTCACTGCTCGACGACAGGTGGCACCACAACCCAGTGCTCCTAGTGGCCAACAAGCTGCGCATTCTGAAGCTGGATTGGTCGCATATCGTCGGAAGATATGGGTTGGTGGTTTTCCGCGTCCTCTGCTCAAAAAGGTGCTGGAGACTTGTGCGGACGACCTCAGCTACAACATGCCTCAGTCATACAAGGCAGGCCTGCAGAACAGATGCTACAACCAGAGCATGTCCTTCGCTTTCATATTTGACTCGGAGGACTCTGCAAAATGGTTTTTGGAGACGACGAAGACCGTGGGCATACAGTGGTTTGATAAGAAGACTCTCTGTTCTGTTCGATTGCGGGCGCGTTTTGATGCGCCCACTCATGTTCGTGCCAAACATCGAGTACTGGGCCAGCTATGGCAGATGTGCAAAGATCATTGGCGTCAACACGCGCCAGAAGTTCAGAACTGGCAGCTTGGTTGCAATGGGTTTCGTGGCAATCCTTTTCTGGTTGTTGAAGATGAGATCGAGAACTAATTCATGCTGAAGACCGAGGATCGCGACCAGTGGTACATCTCTCCCGACTACGACACGCTCGGCAAGTACAAGATTGCTCGTGCGCTGGCCGACAAAATGGCTCCTGCGGCCATTGCCAAGGTGGAATAGGAATTTCAAACGTTGTATTTTACCGACAGTGGGTCAGGCGGCAGAGGGCTGCCTGAGGGGCGCCTGCAGGCAGCTGGGGCTGCCACGAGCAGGCTGAGAGCCAATACTGACAGTGACGACGCTGACAGTAGCTCTGGCTCTGAGAGTTCGGCTTTTTCATCGTCTTCCTCCTCCTCCTCGTCTTCTAGCATGGACAGGTCTTGGTTCCTCCCTTTCGAGTTAGCGACCAAATTCTCCATAGCGTCTTGGAATGCGTGCTCTCTCTTCGGAAGTAACTGGTCTAATCCTGCTACTCTTCGGGCTAAGCATGAGAAGCTTCGTCGACGTATTGCTCAACATAGTGTAGTGTGTATTCAGGAGTCCCGTGGCTCTAGATTCGACTTGGAAACGACTTGTAAGGACGTCTTGGGGGAGGAGGGGTATGGAACTTTCTTCTCTGTCTCATACTCCAGCTGGTGGGTGCATTATTCTTCTGTCTACTCATTTTCGGCAGCAGTTTGGTAGTGTGTCTCATACTGTACTCGCACGTGGACGCGTGCATCTTCTCCTGCTGCATGGACAGCGCGGCTCGTTCGCTATTGTGAATGCACATGTGGATCCAAGCCTGAGCGTCGCCCGTCAGGAACAACTCTTGTGGCTTATTGCGAGGCGTGTGCCTCCACATGACCAAGCTGTTGCGATTCCCTGTGGTGATTGGAGTGTTCCTGCCTTGGGCGAAGGAAGCCTTCTGATGTTGGGGCAAGCGAGGTGCCCCTCCAGGAACCTCGGGGCCGAGTTTTCGCGGGTCTTTCCTGGATTTGCTGAAGTTGAACAACCACTTGCCACTCATGGAGCTGTGCGTGGCGGGCAGATCATTTCGGCAGGTCGTCTGGATAAGATCTACATCAATGCCTATACTGCCAAGCTCCTGGATTGTGCCCCGAACAGCCTCATTATGGGAAGCCCATTTGACTGGAAAGAACCATCTGACCATGTACCTGTTCGTCTGGTGTTGCGCCCCCGAGGTCCTCCTGCTGCCCCGGAGATCCCCTCCTGGATTGCCAAGCACCCCGGGTTCCCCGTGGTGTTCGCTGAGTGCCTGGAGGCCCATGGTCCTTTTCATGAAGATGCCTGGGAAGCCCTAGGAGAGCTCAAATACACGCTGCACGTCACGATGGCAAACCTCAAGCAGAGGTTGGAAGTACGGGGAGCCAGCACTGTGCCTGAATTTATCGGGTGGTCTCTTGCCGCCATGCGAGCTCTTGCTGCTGGGTCTGCTGCCGCTGTAAGGAGAGCATGCACGTCATACCCGAGACTTTGTCAATATATATATATATATATATATATATATATGCCCTGACAACTGTATGTGGACCGATGTGCATGCTTTCCATCGACATCTCGCTGAGCTTAGTCGGCAGTCTCTCCGACAGCGCACAGCAGAGCTCGAAGCATATGACATGCCCGAGGACTTTAAGAAGCCGCATCTGCACCGTCTCACTCAGTATGCTGCGGCATGGGGAGCTTCTGGCAGGGTGATCTGCCTTTCAGCGGTCGCTGGCCCGACTGGGCGCCAGATTGCTGACCCGCATGAGGCCTGTCAACATCTTGCACAGTATTGGGGGCAGGTACACGGAGAGGGAGATCTAGGCGGGTATTCGTTTGGAGAGCGCGACCAGTTGCTCCCTTTTGTGCCGCGGCTACCCAATCTCGTGAATTGGATCCTCGAGCCCGAGGAGTCCCAGACGTTAGTCGAGAAAACCAGAGATGCTAGTCCTGGTCCTGACGGGATCCCATACAGTGCCTATGCTAAAGCTGGTCCCGAGGCCGTTCGTGTTCTATATCGGGTTTACCGAGCCCTTCTGGCAGGAGATCTCAGGGATTGTAACTTCAACGAGGCCCATGGAGTCTTCCTTGCGAAAGGTGAGTGCCCCGAGGATGCCCAACAGGTTGTCGGGGCCCCTTCCTGCGCCAGGCCGCTGGCGTTTGCCAACAGCAACAACGAACTCGTGTCCAAGGCCTTCAATCGCCCCATGTCGCATGTCGCTCAGGTGTGCTGTGACCCCATCCAGAGAGGATTTATCCCGAATAGAGCCATGAATGACAACCTCATCCAGCCCGAGGGATTTGTTTTGCATTGGGTCGCCCAGCAGTACTGTGCTCAGCAGGTTTTCTTCTGTTCGACTTCAAGAGTGCCTTTCCGTCGCTGCTGCGTCTATTTATCTTCTGGACGCTTGAGGTGTTGGAAATAGACCCGAGGATTATCCAGGCCATTAAGAAGTTGTACTCTGGGATTCGGGTCCAGGTTGTCTTTGGAGGTGTCCGAGGTGCGTTCTTTAGCGTGCTCAAAGGCATAAAACAAGGGTGCCCTCTGTCTGGGACCCTGTATGCCCTAGCGGTTGACCCGATTTTGAGAATGCTTGGCCCCCGATTACCTAGAAGTTTGGGGGCTGCAGCAGCGTTCGCGGACGACCTAGGCGTGGACACTGCTGATGTCATTGCTGCGCTGCGCGTAGGCCTTCCCGTCCTTCAGCTGGCCGAGCGAGTTGCAGGTATGCAGCTCAACCTGCCGAAGTGTGTGCTAGTCGTCGTGAAGGGTATCAGCCGTTGTGAATTCGATCAGCTTTTTCTGGAAAGTGGATTGGTTATCCCTGGGATCGTCTCGGGCGTCCCTGGCAAATATCTCGGGGTCTGGGTCGGTCAGGATTCGGGCGCGCTTAGTTGGCAAGCTCCTGCGAGCAAGGCCCTTCGACGAGCCAGAAAATGTAAAGCACTAAAGCTTGGGCTCGTCAAGACTGTCCTGCGCTACAACGCGTGCGCATTCTCGTGCATGGGCTATGTGGCCCAGTTCTTTGCGCCGTCCAAGTATGCACGCCAGCAGGAGTATCGTGCGCTGCAAAGTCTCACCGATGCTCCGAGGAAATCAATGTCCCGTGCATTGTTGTATGACTTAAAGAACGGTGGTCTCAGAGTCCAAGCTCATCATCTTATGTGTATGGCGAGAGCTGCCATGTACCAAGCTGCCCTCCAACCCAAGGCTTTCGATGAGGTGTGTGGTCTTATCGACGGGTTCGAGGGTGATGACGATTGTGTGATGCTATGGAAATGAACCCCTAGTATAAGCAGACGATGTACTATTTCATGCGAGAGACTCTTCGTAAGTTGCAGGCCATCCCGTCCATCCCTGAGTTCGGCTCCCCTCGAATGCAGGCGAAAACAGAAGCTCGACTGCGCAGCATGGAGAATTATGGTGCGACGGGGATCCTCTTGGGTCGTGCCATGAAATATCATCCAGAGGTGACCCGCACCCAGGCCCTCCATTTTAGGTTGATTCTCCGCCAATTGAATAAAGTGGTCCCCCTTGTGCTATGTGTAGTTTCCTCAGGACGCTCTGTAATGCTTGGTGTACCAGTGCTAGGTTTTCCCAGCCCCGATTGAACTGCATTTTCTGTAAAACGGCCCTCGGGGGTGACTACGTAGTGCACTATCTTGGTTGCCCGTCTCTTGCCTCCCCTGTCTGCTCCCTGCTGCCCTGCCTGCCTGCCTCCTTCTTGTCCGCTCCTGGCTCTGTTCGTCTTGCTGTTTTCCCGCTCCTTCCCCTCTCTGTCTCCCAACTCGCGTCCATCACCATTTATCGTGATATTTGCTGCAGTGCGTATCATTCGCACAGGCATGTCGGGGGCCCCTCTGGACAGAGGGCCGCTGCAGCGGCCAGTGCCCGATACAAGCAAATTATTCGACGCAAGCCCACTCTCGCTAACATTTTGAGGGGCAGTGAATTTGCCCCGCCACTAGCTGCGGACCTCGGCGGTGCAGGACCGCCCCGCCGCCCAGGCTGCTGCCGCCCAGGGGAGGATGGGTCAAGGCAATGGCTTGGGTCGGGTCGGCCAAACCATTTCCTTCCTCCTGGTCACTAGTACTCCTCCTCCTCCTCTTCCTTCCCTTTGCCCTCCTCCTCCTGCAACCTATGGTAGTGGTGGTGGGAAATCGGCCCATCCTGGCACATCACGGACTCTATGAATGTTTCTGAGCGCATCACCGGTCTGCACCACGGCTGCACCCGCCAAGCTTGTTTGTCGCCTGCGCGCGCGCGTTCCACACTGCGGGTGCGCCTTCCGGCGCCCGGGCTCCTGTCTTCGTGCACGCCGGCATTCGGGTCCACTGCCGTTTAACTCACACTGCTGATCTGACAGGATAGCTCGGGGCCCATCATATCAGTCGCTACGGTGACATCACCTGGCCAGCGGAGCAACACGTGAGAAAGTGTGTGTGTGTGTGTGTGCGTGTCTGTGTGTGTCTGTGTCTGTGTGTGCGTGTTGCGCTACAGTCAATCTGGTGTGCACGACTTCTTGCGTTGCGTGACCGCTCAGTCTTTTTTTCCGAGGGCATCCGCGCCCCGCGTTGTTCTGCAATCGACTGCTCCCATCCTGTCCACGCATCTGCTACGCCGGATGGGCATTCACTTAAGCGTGACCCGACCTAGCGCATCGCAACGGTGTCGTCACCTTGCCGCTGGAGGACAAATCGTGTGCGTGCGCGCGGGTTCGTGTGGGCGTGTTTGCGCGTGTTTGTGTGTGTGCCTCTCCCACTTGTTTCATCCCGCTGTCTGGCTTGGTCGGGCTGGCTGCTTGTCGTTCCTCCACCCTGTCGGGGTGCCGTTGCACTTCCGCGCTGCGCCTTTCTTGCCCCGCGCACTGCGCTCCACTTCCACTTGCAGCCGCTCACCCCCTCTCCCTCCTCTCCTAATTTCCCTCGCGTCCCTGCCCTGCGCGAGTGATGCAGTCACTCTCCTATAGGCGGATCCCTGATCCTTCCGACGCGTGAGCTGGCCAAGCCGCGCGCTCGTTCCCTTCGGCTCTCTAAGCCGCGCCGTCTCGCGCGTGGCCGCAACGAGAACGTGTGTGTGCGTGTGTTTGTTTGTGTGTGTTTATGTGTGTATGTTTATGTGTGTGCCCACTTACGCCCCACAGCCAGCATAGTGGCTCTGCCTATCCGCCGGCGCAAACAGGTGTGTGTGTGTGTGTGTGCGTGTGCGCTTCTGTGCGTGCGTGCTTCTATGCGTATGCGTGCGTGCGTGCTTCTACGCGTGTGCGTGCGTGCGTGCGTGTGTGTATGTGTGTGTGTGTGGTTGAGCGTGTGTGTGTGTGTGCGTGTGTGTGTGTGTGTGTACGTGTGTGTGTGTGTGTGCGTGTGTGCGTGCGTGTGTGTGTGTGTGTGTGCGTGTGTGTGT